ATTTCTATCAATGTTTGATCCCAGGGATGGGAATTCTTTAACTATTTCTATGTCCTCATTGTCTAGGTTGAACTTGTGAAGGTTCTCAGTGGTCATTATTTTTGTTTTCTTTATGTTCAACAGTAAGCCTGCCTTTGCACTTTCTTCTTGGATCTTCCTTAGTAGGTGTTCCAGGTCTGTGAGGTTTTCTGCTAGTGTTATGGCATCATCTGCATCTCTTAGATTGCTGACATTTCTTCCTCTATTTTCAGCCCTCCCTCTTCCATGTCCAAACCTACTTTCCTACAATATGTTCTGCATCCAAGTTGAACAGATCGGGTGAAAGGATGCAGCCTTGTCTGACTCCTTTGACAACTGGGAACCTTTCTGTTTCTCCGCCTTCTGTTCTGACAGTAGCCTCTTGTCCTGAGTACAAATTCCTCCTTAGGACTATCAGATGGGACTGGCACTCCCATGTCTTTAAGGGTGTTCTGTAGCCTTTCATGGTCTATGCAGTCAAAGGCTTTGCTATAGTCTATAAAGCACATGCTGATTTTTTTTTTTTTTTTTTGGAACTCCCTGCAATGCTCCATTAGCCATCGTATATTTGCAATGTGATCCCTGGTGCCTCTTCCTTTCATGAACCCTGCTTGAACCTCTGGGATTTCTCTCTCCATGTATGGTTGGAGTCTATGTTGCAGTATTTTGAGCATGATTTTGCTTGCGTGGAAGATTATTGCCATGGTCCTATAGTTGCAGCAGTCTCTTGTGTCTCTTTTTTTGTGGATGGGGATGTATATTGATCGCTTCCAATTTGTTGGCCATCATTTTGTTTTCCATATCTGTTGACATATGTTGGTTAGCACTAGAGTTGACTCTCTCAATGTGGATTGCAGCAGTTCAATTGGAATATCATCTGTTCCTAGTTATTTGTTTTTCACTATTTCTCTTATTGTAGTTTCCACCTCACTTTTTAGAATCTGGGGTTCATCTTCATACTGCTCTTCATTCCATGTGTCCTTCACTTTGTCATCTCTTTTGTATAATTCTTCTATGTATTGCATCCAATGTCTTTTTATTCCTTCCTGGTCTTGAATTATGTTATTTTTATTGTCCTAGATCATCCCAGTCCTTGGTTTGATTTTTCCTTTGATTTCCCCATATCTTGTGAAACAGATCTCTTGTTCTTCCTTTTTGTTGTTGTCTTCTATTTCTCTGCATTGGTCATTGCAGTAATTTTCTTTATTTTTCCACACAGTCTGTTGTACTGTTGCATTCATAATTCTTAGTTTGTTCCTATCTCCCTTTTGTTTTTCTTGTCTTCTTTTCTTTATTGTTTGTAGTGTTTTTTCTGTCATCCATGGTATTTTCTCTTTCTTTTTATTTATTGAAAGTCTCTGTCTGCATTCTTCGTTTATTATGTCCCTGGTTCACGATCTATTATGCTTAGTAGTGCGAATCTGTTTCTTATGTTATCAGTAAATTCTGTTGAGATATTATTTAGATCATATTTTGGTATAATCACTGGTTTTGTTTTCTTCTTGAGTCTTACTCTTATTTTTGATATGAGTAATTCATGATCTGTACCACAGTCAGCTCCTGGTCTAGTCTTGGCCACCAGTATAGGGTTTCAATTACATATTCATAATAATTATTCTAACACATTGTTTCTCTTTCAGTGGATATTCTCTTATATTATTCCTTATGACCATCATATTACTGATTTCATTTTAGATTTTTCATGTATGCTTAAACTATTTCATTTCTTTTGGCAGATTCTCTTCCCGGTACTTACTTCCTTTCCTTATCTTTCATAGAATTCCCTTCCATTTTGCTTTCTTCTCCATTCTTTCCCTTTCCATTCTTCCTCATCTTTCCCTCGGGTCCAAAACACACTGCAGAAATAATCCAGTTTGAGACTGCGTTAGCTGCCCTGGCTCAGTGCTAGGGAATCCTGGGATTTGTAGGTTGTCGTGGCACCAGTGATCTCTGACAGAGAAGGCTAAATGTCTCACAAAACTACAGTAACCAGGGCAGTTAAAGTGGTCTCAAGTTGGATTATTTCTGCAGAGCATTTTGGATCTATGTTATTCTCTTCCTTTTAATCTTCTAAACCTCTTACCCATTCACTTCCATCCAATTTTTTAAAAAAAATTTCAAACTCATGGGAAGCTCAATTCTCATTCATTACAATTAATAAACACTTTTGCATTTCTCTTTCCCATACTGCCCTTTCTTTGTTGTTACAGCTAGATTCTTCTTGCAGAAACGACCTTGAAAAGGCTTGAATCCTGCATGCCTCCTCTCCAGAGTTATCTCACCAAATGTGGCTGAAATCACCATGTCTTTGCAATAGCTGTTTCTACTGTATCACATCGCATCACCTTCCCAATATTTTATGGCAGGACAGGTGCATGTGCAACTCCTGAAACTTCCTCAGATGCATGGAGTGATCTGACACCCAGGAAGGATCGTCATAATCAGACTGTATGGATAGCCATGAGAGCCAGCATGGCATAGTAGTCTGAGCATTGGATTATGGAGTTTATTACACGGGACGGAAGTGCCCAAATCTCATGCAGAAACGTTGGCAGGGTTAATGAGCATTAACGTGACATTAACCCATACAGAAAGCTGCCAAGTCATGGCACTTTTTACTTTCGGGAAAATCCCAAAAGTAAAAGGTGGCACGATTTGACAACATTCTATACAAGTTAATGTTGCGTTAATACAGAAAGTCGCCAAATCGTACCGCTTTTTACTTTCAGGAAAATCCCGAAAGTAAAAGGTGGCATGATTTGGTGACTTTCTGTACAGGTTAATGTTGCATTAATACAGAAAGTCGCCAAATTGCACCACTTTTTACTTTTAGGAAAATCCCGAAAGTAAAAAGCGGCATGATTTGGCAACTTTCTGTAGGGGTTAATGTCATGTTAATGCTCATTAACCCTGATGTGTCTGAAAACAATCCCACTTTTGTGGGTTTCCCCCAGGATTTAAACCCTGTTTCTGCATGGGATATGGGCACTTTGCCCCTCGTGTGATAAACTCCTATGACTCTGGTGACCAGGGTTCGAATCCCTGCTCTGCTATGAAACCCACTGGATGGCCTTGGCCAAATCACGGCCTCAGAGGATGGCAATGGCAAACCTCCTGTGAACAAACTTGCCAAGAAGAAGGACCCATGATTGGTTCTCCTTAGGGTAGCCATAAGTTGGAAATGACTTGAAGGCTCACAGGAGCAGCAGCAGCAACATGAATAGCCATAGAAATGAGCAAAACTCATGGTCATGGGTGACAAGTTCAGTTTTAACTATAGGAGGACAAAGCCAAGTGGGAAGATGTTGTCCGAGACCAAGGTGGGTGGATGACCGTAAGAAATAGTGATTACGGATGTGGTCCATGCAGGCTGGGAACCAGGATGGAGATGTGATGAACTGGTTAAGAGCATCCCTGTGAGGTTGGGGTGTCAACCAGTGTTATAATGTGTGTAGTGTGCTGGCGAGCCAGTATAGCACAGTGGTTTCAGCATCAGACTATGACTCTGGAGACTAGGGTTCAATTCCCACTCAGCCATGAAACCTACTGGCTGACCTTGGACAAGTCACATGCTCTCAGCCTCAGGGGAAGGCAATGGCAAACCTGCTTTGAGCCAATATTGCCAAGAAAACCTCATGATAGGTTCACTTTAGGGTTGCCACAAGTCAGAAGAAATTACTTGAAGGCACACAACACACACACACAATGTGCTGGCACTGTCTTGCTCTTGCTCTCTCACAAACACACACGCACGTGAGAAACAAACCCAGAACCAGAGATACAACATCTGGTTGGCAGAGTGTTAAGTTCCATGATGCTTACCTTTGAGGCCGTTGTCATACTGCAGAATTAATGCAGTTTGACACTGCTTAAACTGCCACGGCTCCATCCTATGGAATCCTGGGATTTGTAGTTTGTCGTGTCACCAGAGTTCTCAAGCAGAGAAGGCTGAATAGCTCACACAACTACAAACCCCAGAATTCCATAGCATTCTGAGCATGGAGGCAAAAGATTCTTTTGAAAGATGCTCGGCTCAAGCTCCTGCAGGTGGCTCTGTTCCCCATGAAACTGAAGGATGGAAAGCGAGAGAAGGAGAAAGGGAAGGCAGAGAGCAAAAGAAAAAGAAGAGAGGGAAGGAGGTTCAGAGTGGGAAGATCTGAGTGGCTGGCATTGGCCTCTTTTGCAATCAGGACCTGATTTTATTATACAGGTTGAGTCTCCCTTATCCAAAATCCCCAAATCTGAAATATTCCAAAATCTGAGTTAGTGGCACCTTTGCTTTCTGGTTGGTTCAATATACACAAACTTTGTGTCATGCACAACATAATTAAAAATATCGTGTAGAAAATCACCTTTAGGCTATAAGTGTATTATTACTGTTGTTGTTGTTGTTGTTGTTGTGTGCCTTCAAGTTGTTTCCAACTTATGGCGACCCAAAGGTGAATCTGTCACGGGGCCTTTTTGGCAAGGTTCTTCAGAGGAGGTCTGCCATTGCTATCCTCTGAGGCTGAGAGAGTGTGACTTGCTCAACCATTGGCTTTCCATGGCCAAGCCAGAATCGAACCCTGGTCTACAGAGACATAG